CACCAAGTGTTCTAACCGATGAAGAACCACTTCAGCAATCAGCCCTGATATGGGGGAGCCCATAGGGGTGCCTTTGATTTGTTCATGCATTTGTCCACCAAAGGTGAAATATGTTTTTAGGCAATAGCGTAAGAGCTCCACGAGATGTTCAGTCTTCAGGGGATTGTCTCTCTCGTTGTAGCGGTCAGCCAGGAGTTGTCTCACAACGTCAATCGCTAGTTGTTGTGGAATGGAGGTAAAGAGTGAAACGACATCAAACGATACCATGGATTCATCTGGCTCTAGTTTCAGATGTTTTAAACGTTCAAGGAACTGATTAGCAGAGGCCACTGTTGTTGGCGATCCTTCTGCCTGGAACTTAAGACGAGCAAACATCCATTTTGCCAAACCGTATGTAGGAGTACCACGTAGGGAGACGATGGGTCTAAGTGGTATGTTAGCTCTGTGTACCTTCGGAAGACCATAAAACGTGTCCTATCTCCAACAAGAGCATGTGGAGGACAACGGGCCAGTTGTCTGGAACTGGTCTTTTCCAAAGATCCTGACAGTATAGACGAGGAATACTACCTACCCCCGCTCGGTCGAAGTGATCATGCAGTACTTTTATGGGAGTACGAGCTCTATTATGAACTGTATACAAAAGATGATACGAGGCCGAATATATGGAAAGGGGACTTTTGCTAAATGAGAGCTGAGACATCACAAATAGACTGGGATATTCCCTTCTCCAAAAACGTGAACGATGACTGGAAGTTATTCAAGGATCGGTTGCTGCATCTAATGAAGAGCCACTGTCCCGTTTCAAAGCCTAGGACATCCAACCGCCCCAGTGGATAACACGTGAATTCAAAAAGGGGTCAACAAGAAAGGAAGGTTGTAGAAGAAATTTTGTGAAAACAAAAACATTGCAGCGTTTACAGGATATAAAGTTCGAAGAATAAAGGCGAAATGCCTGATTTTGAAGAGGCGACGGGATTTCGAGAGTAATTTGTTTCACCAAACCGTTAAACATCCGAAATCGCTCTACAGCTATTTACGGAAGAGCGCACGTAACAGGAATCCCATTTCTGTCATAAGGAATGATGACGTTTTGGAGATATCGGACACTACGAATAAGGCTGGGCATTTTTCTGAATTTTTCCAATCCGTTTTCACAAGAGAAACAGAATTTATTCCAACTAGTTCCAAGAACTTGGGAGATCCCACTATCGAAGGTATCGTGTTTCGAGAAGCAACGATTTTGGAAGAACTAAAAAGCTTGAAGGGATGTAAATCTCCCGGTCCGGACGAGATCCCAGCAAAGCTGCTTTTCGAGCTTGCCCGAGAACTGGCCGAACCACTGTCCTTTCTGTGCCAGGAATCGTTTGATGCTGGAATCCCTCCCACAGACTGGAAGACGGCCCACATTACACCCCTTTACAAAAGCGGTAGTCGTGCTCTGACGACAAGCTACAGACCCGTCAGTCTGACATCAATCTGCTGCAAAGTGATGGAGAAAACCATAAAAAAGGAGTTGATGACTTATCTGGAAAGCCCCAATCTCTTGTCCAATGCACAATACGATTTCCGTAGGGGAAGATCATGTGTAACGAACTTGCTTTATACAATGCAAAGTTGGACAAGAGCACTGGACGCAAAACACACTGTGCACGTGGCCTATATTGATTTCCGGAAGGCGTTCGACAGTGTCCCGCACCAACGTCTCCTGCACAAGTTGAGAATAATGGTCATCGGCGGCAAACTTCTCAAATGGATCGAAAACTTCCTCGTCGGCCGCTCCTAAATTGTCTGCGTAGAACAACAGCAATCAAGGTGCCCATTCATAGAGAGTGGGGTCCCACAAGGCTCGGTGCTCGGACCAACCCTCGTTCTCTTGTTCATCAATGATTGTGTAGATGGGTTGGACTGTGATAGTGCAATGTTTGCAGATGACATAAAAATCTAGAAAGTCATCCCGAATGCTGCCGATTAGACCAACTTCCAAGAAAATCTTTGTCGCTTTGACGAGTGGTCTTGCAGATGGCTGTTATCCTTCAATTTGAACAAATGTACCATTCTGTGCCTCGGAAATGAGAACCCTAGTACGCGGCAATACCATCTGAATGGAATACCACTTCGAGAAGCAGAAACGCAGAAAAATCTCGGAGTCTGGGTTGCAGACATTCTAAAGCCTTCTACGCAATGTTGTAAGGTGGCCAAGGCCGCAACTTCGATGCTTTATGTCATCAAGCGGGCATTCACAGTTTTCGATGATGACTGATTCTCTAAAGTCTTCGGCACGTTTGTAAGGCCGCATCTCGAAAATGCAATTCATGCCTGGAGACCATGGACGCATCAGGATTACAATCTGCCCGAAAGGGTGCAGAGGCGAGCAACAAAACTAATAAGACGTCAAAGTGCATTGCATATGAGATTAGCTATGCTAACCTTAATCTCTATCCTCTGAGTTATAGGCAGTTGCGCGGAGATTTAATACAAACTTTCCGTATCGTGCGTGGCTTGGACTGCGCACCTCGGTGCGATAACTTTTTCCAACTCGCCACAGCAACTAACCTCCGGGGACATCCCTTAAAGCTACGTGTGCCCCAGGGTAGATTGAATGTGAGAAAATATTTATTCTCCAACCGTGTCGTGGAACCGTGGAATAATCTGCCCGAGATGGTTGTCATGTCTCAAACTGTGGCGACAGTTAAATGTAGACTTGACAGACATGCAACAGCACCAAGCGGACTATGTGACTTTTTATCCATGAGACAAATGGCATATGTGAATCAATGTCTGCATTCACTTAATGCTGTAATTTCTTCACATTTTGCTTATTTTTCGATGGCGTAAGCCTATTTCCCTCAATTACTCTGACTGACTGATTACATGTCAGCTCATTAGATACAACTGTACACGAACAATGAAATTAGTCGCTATTAAAACAGCCCTTGATTCACTTGAGTAGAATTGTTTCAAAGAATAACTCTCTGGAGATCGCGGGGTATTTAGCTCAGGTTCAGACTGTCGAGGGAAAACAGCGGACACAGATAATTATCTAAGCGTTTCTTGAGGAGCTTCAGGAACGTCGCCTCCACAAATGATTGCGGGAGATCATTCTATTTCTTCATTACCCTTGGTTTAAAAAATTCAGAGCGGAGGTTCAGCCTGAACATTTTGTGCGCAGGCTCATCGAGTGGCCACGAAGGTTGGGTGAGGGGCGCCACTGAAACATGTCCTCAAAGCTAGGTCCATGCTCAAGGCGATGCATTATCTTGTTAACGAGGATAAGTTCAGCGCTTTGCTATCTGTAACACAGAGCGAATAAACAAAGGCAATGTAGTCTTTCTGTGTAAAATTGGCTTTTTAAACCGTTCACCGGCCGCTTACGATCGAGTAGCACTTACCAGCCACGATTTTTTGACAGCGGTTAGATACGTAGGATCCAGCGAAGTCAAGTAGATGATGCCGGATCTCCAGGGCTTTTGGATTTACTAAAAGAGGCTATTATGGCACCTTGTCGAAAGCTTTGTTATGCTCAAGGCAGATAACTACCACTGACTGATGTTCACTACTAAGCGAAGTGACAGGGTCAACAAATGCCGAGTGATAAATTTTGCAAAATCTTTCAAGCATAATCCCACGCTGAGTTGAGCTCAGAAGCTGATTAGCTAGACAAGAAGCAGAAACTGAACTACAAATCGTCTTCTCGAAATGTTTTACTAATAAGGACTTTTATGCACGTCGCGACTGTTATTAACGTCGAACCCAAATCCCGACTTGAAGACTAGAAGGATACTGTATGCTTCCCATGTTGTAGAGAAGAATCCGCTCGAAAAATAGACTGAGGATAGATGGTGGAGCAACTAACGAAGGTTTGACACCTTCCTGATACTCTAGTTTGGGACTTCTCTGGTTTCCGAGGTGTGGGAGTGTTTAAGCAATTTATTTGTCGTACGGCAGGTCAGGTTCAAAATGATTCGGGGGTTGAGAGACTTTTATAATACCAAAAGGTACTCTTCTGTCAAGTTCAACATTTAAAGAAGACGTAATTTTCTTCCAAATAAGAGAACCACGGATTATTTTTCGCATGTTTCCCACATAGTATATTTGAACTTATATGCATGTTAAAAATCATTGTAAAGATACATGCCACATGAGTAGTAATTTTTTACGGAATGCAGTTTTTGCAAGCGACCGACATAAGTTCATTCAAAAGCTGGCATCCTGATGTGACTGGAATGTCTTGAGATTATGCGACATGATAGTTAAAATTATTAAATAAATCTCTTGGAATTGAAAACAAGTTTAAGATTTTCAGCCAATTTTCATGAATAGCCTGAACTGGAATGAAGGTTAATGGAGTTGGGGCAATTCGTGTGACAACTATCTGCAGGATGGAAACCCTGCCAGCACATGACCCTTCATAGGCGGGGCTGGGAAGGGGCCTGGTGGTGCCGGAGCCCCCTCTGGATTGAAGCATTTTGAAGCGTATGTGCGTCGAAAGTAACGTTTCAAAAGCACCACTCATTGTACCTTCTTTACATTTAAAGGATTTAATTTATCAAAAGTGGCTTATAAATCATGGAAAAAGCATTCTTTTACGCCCACGGGTCGCGGATAATATCGTGCGTCTACCAATGCTATTTCATGCTCTTAATAACTGTCTTAGTTAATTTATGTATCTTATGCTAATTGTTTGGGTATTTACTCGCAAACCAGTTCATGTAGTAGAATTGTATGTCTATGTATGTACTATTTAGCATTGATGTTCATAGTGCACTTATGCAAATTTTTTTACCGTTTAGTACTGAGTATCCAAAGCAATTATGAGGCGTAATTACTGTGGCTCTCGGCGAACCACCATATACAAGCGTATTATGCGCCGGATGAAGGTATATCATGAGGCCACTGAAGAGCCAGAGTCTGAGGTTCCCTAACGTCGACAGCAGTTGTCAGTCCATCCCCCGAACGAGAAATGCCTATTCTGATCTCTGAAACGTCTGCTGGCAAGTATTATGTGTGTGCGCCTCAGGGGACTCATCATACGGATCGATATTTTAAAGGAGTGCCAATGTGAGTGGAAATCTGACGTTCCCTGCGCATTTTTTCGTCGGTGCGGCCAGGCGGGGCTGTCGTGTTGAATGCCCCGCCACAGCCCCTTCTACAGTCCCGTCAAGCCCCTTAATAGCCCCCTCTAGCCCCGCCATATTTGAGTGGGTTACGCGGGGCTGGTGCTGGCAGGGTTAATTATAGATTGATCAGGCCCAAAGGTTGGTTGGTCCCCTCACTAAATGGCCAATTTGCGCTAATAAACGTGATCTTCTGCTGTTTCCGAGTCCCTGTGAATTTTATTGCGCTGGTGGGGCCAGGCGGGGCCGTCGTGTTGAATGCCCCGCCACAGCCCCTTCAACAGCCCCTGCCTAGCCCCTTCATAGCCCCCTCTAACCCCGCCATTTTTATGGGGCTAGGCGGGGCTGGTGCTGGCAGGGAAATACGTCTTACATATTACCCGGTCAGCCGAACAAGCAATTATCTGAAGGTATAATTGAGTTTGTGAGACTTATAGACGAGTTGGGTTAAAAAGGCTTGGAAAATCGAAAAAAAGGCAGTGGCCAATCTATGCATATTTGCTTGGACACTATCGCTTGTCTGAACAGAACAGCTCTGTGGTGCTAAACCAACGCCTTGCATACTCATACCGCTAATGCGGATGACTGTCATTACATTTTACTGAAATCATCTACAACTGAATGTTCTCAAGTTTTGGTTCTACATTTTCACGGAAAATATTCTGTTAAATGTGTATATTACTGACAACATTTCAGTACCATGTTTATTTATGGTGTGATATTGCATGTACCGTTTACAATGGGGTTTTCAAAGGCATTGCCTATTACTCTTAAAATATACTGACCTATACTGACCTATTCGTATTAACCTGCCCTTGATTTGGAGTGAGGTAGGATTCGGCTTGGAACAACGCTGTGCTTATAGTATGGCTTATAAGGTTATGCAAAAAGACACTAAAAACTACCTTAAAGTGGAGAAGCTGTCGTTCTAAGTGATTTAGGCGGAACTGCGGACCTCACAAGTAGGTTTACTAGATAGTTAGAAGCGGATGCTGCGGCTGCTATTGATCTTAAGGACGAATAAAGGCGTTCAGAGGCTACTTGAACGAAAAGAAGGAGAAGAAGAAGAAGAAGAAGAAGAAGAAGAAGAAGAAGAAGAAGAAGAAGAAGAAGAAGAAGAAGAAGAAGAAGAAGAAGAAGAAGGAAAGGAGGAAGGGAGAGGGCCACTGGGTCGGATTTCTTAAGAGTAGAATAAACTAGCTTCTTGAAGTCCACAATACCATGACAATAGTGGCGTGCATTCGATTGAAGAGATGAATATTTATTTGGGAAAAGGGACGCATTTTGCGTTTCATAGATGCAAGATCATTACAAAGGAAAACAGTTGCTTTTCCAGAAAATCAAGGATGTGTTTATTGCGGGCAAAGATTAAATGAACCTCGATAGGACTGCTCGCGAGAACGCAGTAATTCTGTCAAGTCGCAGCTCTCCCAACCACGACTTATGGTGTGTCGTTGCATTTTTAAGGCGTAGCACCTAAACACATACTCGTACAGACCTGAATGTCGCCAGACAAAGTCTTTTAAAGAAGTTGGAAAACGCAAAACGTGGGTGCATATCTCAGTATAATCCCTGCCAGGCGTGAACCTAGATTTTGGTCAGCATATCACCACACCGATGACATACAGTGAGTGACCGACCTCATGAAATGTTGGCCGAAATTCTGAAATGCGTTTTCGACTAGAAGGGATTAATAAGGTTGCATTGTAATATCAATTATCCTATAGCATAATCCTATGGCATTTCGGACTCGCCAGGATGTCGGCTTTTGAAAGCACTTCGTTTTGACCTCCCATCGAAACCGTACTCGGCAAAAAATGGCTACTTAATAAGCACGCATACTTAACATTGATTTTCAAAGGTCTACTATGTTCAAGTATATTCTGTAGAAACATGCATAAAAATATGATTTCTTTTACTCCTTTAGTAGAAAATCGTAATGTCTATGCACTGTGGACCCGACAAAAGTGTATATTTAGGTCTTGAGAAAGTTTATAGTTATGAGATTTTTAAGACCGTGCGATGCCCATAGATACAGCATCGCCCGTGTTAGTTTACCAATGTTTCCCGTAAAGTGTACAATACAACCTGTATCCATTGCAAAATTTTATGAACTGTATACAGTATCTTCTTAAACGCATGGGGGAATATATGATTTTCCATATGCAGAACGCATGCAATTTGTAGACCAAAATTGCTAAATTCTAGCACAACGGCCGACCAGGTTCGAAATTATTTGGGAACTTGGAAACTTTTTCAAAACCTAAATATGCACTTTTTGGGGTATGGGAAAAAACGTGATTTTCTACCAAATAGATAAAAAACATATTTGTGCATGTTTTCTGTAGAATATACTTGAACTTATAAGACCATCGAAAATCAACGTGCAAAATGCGTGCTACTTAAGTAGCCATTTTTTGCAGAGAGCGGTTTCTGTGGGAGGATAGAAAGAAGTGTATTCAAAATCCGACATCCTGGTAAGTCCCAAATATAAGAGGATTATGCTACATGATAATTAATATTACAATGCCACCTTATTAATCCCTTCTAGTCGAAAACGCATTTCAGAATTTCGGACAACATTTCATGATATCGGTCACGCATTATGAGTGCAAATAAATGAGAGAAGCAACCTTTCTGTGATAAATAAATGCAGCATTTTGATGTTGGTTCCAAATATGGACAGTCACTGTCAACAAATTTTTGATTGGTAGCCCATTGCTGCATAAATTCGTGCCAGAATTGCTTGTCACACAACTTGCGTCTGAAAACAGCAATGCAGCAGTTCTCCATGCTACTTTGGGTCGGTTTAGCACTCATTGCGCAGTGCGCGCATGGATGCAACCCCGGAGAAGGTATATCTTTTTACTTCAAATGTAATATGACCTAGTGTACCGTTCCTGGGCAGTTTGATAGCATTACTAGGCACAGCTTCTCCAAAATGTAGGTGTGTTTATTACACAGCTTTTTGACGAGGAGCGCAAGCATGACGTCCAGCGTACTCATTGCTTAACAACGGCTAGACCATGGCATTTAATCTCGGGAACTTACAATGCCTGACAAAGTATCCCGAAGCATATAAGCTACTTGAACAAAATCAGGTGGTGTGTCGAAAAAGCATGTTCCAACAACTCAGTCTTAAAATGAAAGATATGTGAATGCTTTCGAAGACAACACTTAATACGAGGTATTTAAACATACCAAATAATTTTCATGACGGCTAAGAGTTTATGCGAGACTGTCATTCGTTCGCAAACGCCTAACACATTTCGTTTTCAAGAAATTTACCACTAACGCACAATCTGTCGTCGATTAATCGTACATTTTTAGTCGCCTTTGAGTATCAACCAAATAATAACGTGGGTTTTTCTATATTGAAAGAATAAAAATTTCAGTCAAAAAGTTTGACCCAAGTTCCAGTTGTTTTTGCAATATCTTCACTTTAGAAATGAAATTCGAAGAAGAGATATGCATCGAATTGTATCTCAATTTTCATGTATCCGCTTCATAAATCAAGTTTACAGAAAAGGTCAAATGCAGGGACGACTTTTTTGACAGTGCCATTCAGACACTTAACATAAATTTTGGCTTCCCTTCGGTGAAACCAAGATGTTTTCCGGTTTATATTCAATTCAGCTAACCAACAACTCCAGCGTTCTAAGGCCCTTTAATCCTACTTATCTAAGAGAGTTACTTCAGTAGTACTGTTTTTTCTCCATAAATTCTCTATGTCCCTACAAATTTAATCATATGTTGGGGAAAATATGCACAAAACTATCCTTTCTCGTACTCATCTGACAGCAACTCAGATGATAAGGGTTATCCTTCTGTTTAGGTTTGCAATTAGGAGATTATGAAGACCATGAAATATCCGTTTAAATAGCGCTGCATACATCCCTTTATTAAAGCAACATGCTTCACAGACACTGCATCATTTTTGAGTCCTATGTAGCATCCACCAAAGAGCCTAAAGCATTTTAGGGGATTCCCTTGTAGTTTGGAAACCCTAAAACAAGAGCAACGGTAGGTCGGGTTCACAATTACTCGGCAGTTGAAAATCTTTTTAAAAACCGAAGATTATCCTTCGCTTAGGAACAAAAATCCAAGAAAACGGGACTTGTTACCAACTGATACTTTATATATAAGAGGTCTAAAAGAGCATGGAAGATAGGTGAAACGAAAACATATTATTTTTGCTGTCATTTCCTAGCGAGCGTGATCTTTCCAGGTCAGCGAAAAGACACACCCTCAAAAGCTGGAGTTCTAATGTGGACAAAATAGCATTGGTTTGTGACGGACGATAACAAACAATACAACACAACCTAGGTGATTTTTCTATTCGAAAACCAATTTCATGAGATACGCCACCTGCTGCACTCATGTTCGCACTTCTGCTTCACTTCCTTTGTATTAAGTGTGAAGTAACAGACAACGCCGCTTTTGCGCACGCGACTTTATAATACTCGGCGCGGTGTCCTAAAAGAACCAGAATTATTACATGAGGCATACCTCGTGAACTCAAGATGATGTATCAGCGGTCTTGAAAACCGTAATTTTTACTACTGCGCTAAACATGCCAAAAGAGTATTGAGAACACCTAAGGATTTATGCAGGACTGTTAGTTGGACGGAAATACTTGACATATCTTAGTATAATGTGAAGTATTATATTGCTACCATTCAGGAACGAACGGCCGCCGTCCGGAACCATATATTTTTAATCGTCTTGAATACTAGTCGAGCAAGACATCGACTATTCCTCTGTTAAATAGAGGCTTATTGAATGTGAAAAATAGGCATTTACCTTTATTGTCATTTCGGTGTCCTTATTTCAGAACTCAAATCACTTGAAGAGGCCGAATGCAGAGACGACTTTTTCGATAGAGCCCTAAAGGCGTTTAATTTAAGACTCAGTTCTGTTACAATATATCCCAAAGGTTTTCCGGTATATGTTCAATTCAATAAATCGACACTTTCTGGCTGCTGCATCGCTTCAATCACCCACAACTTCGAGAAACACGACTGCTCGGACGTTGCGTTGTCGGCAGAATTATTCGTAAAACACGTACGTGTCTCTAAAAAAATCCCATGTAGTTCAAAATGCAGGACAGCCAATCCAAATTGCGCACTCATTATATACATGTATGGTGCAACCAAGTATAAAGGCATATTTTAATGACGCCTTCGTTTTATTTTCCTATTTTTACAGAGGAAAAATATGTATGAGCGCCGTTTCGTGACGGATACCAGGACGATAGCGAACGTATTGGCCAATTTTACAGGCACTATACAACTGGACCGATTGAAGGACAACTGCGTAGTTGATTCCTTTGTAGGCGCAAAATCAGATGAAGTTGAAATTGAGCATGTGAGACTGCCTACAGGAGTCATTTTATCGGAAGGATTGGAGGAGGTTTTGCAAAAATGTCTTTCATCACTGGGGAAATACATACCAATGCCTTGTTAATGTCTCCAGTGAAACACAATTACCCAATAGAAAATAATTTCCAAAAGTCCATCATAGATAATAAATTTGCTTTTTAGAACTAATGGGCTCTGTCATCCCACGTAATAAGCCTGAAAGTCATATCCGTTTCCACGACCTTAGCAGAATTCAGTCGAAAAACAGTTGAAAATTCCTGTTTAATAGAACCATAACGTCAAATCAGTTAGAATGCAGATGAAAACTGTCGGGACAACTACATGACCCAATGTGGCACTCGAGATAAAACCGGGGCCTGTAGAAACGTCGATTTGCCACCGGCTTAAGGAATCAAGAGAGACAGAAATGGCCTCTAACAGGCTTAATGGCCTCACGATGAACGTAAATTGAAGGTTAGTTCGAGGTACGGTAAGACCATGTTCACCGATGGGTGCAGGTATTTGTATTCTGTTTTTAGCTTGGGCAGAATGTTTTTCGGTGGCAAAAAAATCAAGCGCTTTCAAATATCTTTGTTCATTGGATTTATTGAGGGTAAGGCGGACTTATTTGACCCCCCCTAGACATGAGAATAGGATCTATCTGCAATACGTGTGACTTTGAGCCAACTTGCAAAAATCAAGCACTTTCAAATATCGTTGTTTATTGGATTTACTGAGGGTAATACGGACTTATTTGACCCCCCTAGACATGAGAATAGGATACATCTGCAATAGGGGTGGCTTTGAGCCAACTTGCAATGAAACTATAGTTAGGGTTAT